TATTTCTGGAAATTACCGTTATATGGGAAGTGGGCGTGGTTACAGTCCGATTTCGCCTATTTTCAATACCAACCTACCTTGGATTAAGGGAAACCTACATACCAAATGTCGTTGAGATATCTCAATTTTTGCTGGAGTTATCGTGTACACAGACGGACGGACAGACGGACAGACGGACGGACAGACAGACATGGCTTAATCGATTTCTTTTTTCATCCTGATCATTTATGTATACATTTGTCTATATCTATCTCGATTCGTTTTGGCTGTTACAAACAACCGTTATGTGAACAAAATTAATATACCCTTGTGCACAAGTGCGCTCGGGTATAAAAATCAGTGCAATGTAGAATAAAAATATGTGTCCCAAATGAAGGAAAAAATTCTGCATTGAAAAACATTAATGTTTGTTGGGTTACAAGGACGAATAGGTAATGAAAATTTACTTCTAATTAATTTAACTGTTTTAAGCTAATAAGGTTAGGAGGACGAAATTCGGGGATGTGGTTGCGTGTATATTAGTCCTTAGCATATAATAAAAAAATAATAATAAAAATATTTCAAATTTTCAAGGATATTAAAGGACAAAATTTTAATAAGTCATTTTCCATATGCACTATAAAATTTTGTGCAATATGGAATAAAAATGTGGCACTGTATTTTACATAGTGAAAATATATGAATTTTTTCGTAGAATTGCTATAAAATCGTTAAAAATAAATACCTTTTGATTGGATAAGCATACTTCCCTCCAGAAATCTTTAAAACCAATATGATTCTTTTTATATATTTTTAAAATTTTACTAAGCAGATTGTAATAACCGAAAATGTTTTCTTGTATCCATATAAAAAAAATTATTATTTTATGTTTTTATAACCACATCACGCATGTACAGCTCAACAAAATTTATGCATTTTTTTTGCATTCTGTTCGATGGTTTATAAAAACGTTTCTAGTAAAAAATTTTGAAAAATAGGGTTGCCAGCTAATTGCAGTTTAAAATCACATAAAAGCTCAATGAAATATTTAAATCTAGATATAGAAAATTAAAGCGTTTGAATGGATTAAAAAATATTCTTAAACGGAGTGGCAAACCTTTCTGAAAAATATTAAGTACTACAGTTATTAAAGCGAGACTTTGAAATCCAGTTTCCCATCAGAGATTACTAAGAACTTAATATCATTCTAAACAGTGATAAAATGCCGATCCTGACAGATGTATTCAAAATAAATATAGCTAGGTACATCATCTGGCGTAGTCTCCCAGAAGTTATCTTTGAGTTAGTCCTACAGAATCTCAGGATACTACAGCATTTTCCATGCTGAGATATTCATATTCAATTGATATGGCAAAAATGCTGATAAGCCTGATCGACCTCTGTAACTCCATCTAAAATTTGTCTTCTTTGTTGACAGACGATCTGCCATAACGACTTACTCGATATGCATTCAGTAATACTGAATATGTTTTGAAAAAGCTTTATTTATGTCTGAAGTATTTGTAGGAGGATTGTCAACTCTTTAAAAATCAAATTGGGTTTGAATTAACAACAAAGAGGTCTTAGAAGGTTCAGACTTAAAGAAAATATTTCAAGTGGGTTTAAAAAAATTTCAAAATCTCCTATGTTTTCGGCTAAGTTTAAGTATGTTAAGTTTTTTAATATAAATTACATCTAATTTAGCACGCAGAAACTTCATCCAGGCTTATTAGGATGATGTTTATGAGCTGCCATCAGGTAAATCTCTCAGGGGTGTCTGCGTAAAGTCACAGGAATCCTGAATAAGATTGATGAATGCTGCACTGTTCGGGATCTTTCTGTCAAACCCAGCATGACAACCATAGTCTTGTTTAGGTGGAAAATAAAATTGGAAGGTCGTAAAGATAAGTCTCTCGTGGATGGAAAACTCAAGTCGAGCTGAAGGTAAATCGACTGCTGAAAGTTTTCGCACTGTGTCGGAGAACCTTTAGTAAGACCTGGAGACTGGGACCGGCTGTGGTATTCTGCATATATTTACGTTAGGGTGGGCCGATTCTTTTTTTCACTAAATCGCATGGTATTTTTGGACAGATAATTCTAAGCAAAAGTGTAGAAGAAATCATGAGTCGTAAATGAGTATACACATGTAACCTGGTAAGTTTGCAGAGAAACAATGAATTCTCACCCCACCTGCCTGAGTGCTTGGAAAAAATTGTTTTTCTTAATATTTTCAGCCACCTACAAATAGATAGTCATAAAATAAAAAAATAAAAAACAAAATAGAATGAAAGGTGAGAAAGGGAAAAACATCTTCATATTTAAGCAACATAACGTCGTCATAGTTAATACCAGCACATGTGGCAAAAGTTTCTAGCACTGGAGAGCAAACAATTTAATGTAAATACATTTTTAGATAAACAAATATACACATACATATAGACTGCCAGAACAAGTAATTTTTCACATTATATGCAACAATTTTTGTTCTAATATTTTTCCGCCAACTTAAGTAGTATAAAAATATGGTTCATTCATTCATAAAAATATAATTCCTAAACTTTGTGCAAAACTCGCGAAAATTCAGCAAATTTTCGACTTTTTAGTCAGATTTTTTAGGATTTTTTTGAGCATGCAGATTTGTAGCCCAATCAATTTTATTAAAATAAAGTACAAGTTTTTTTTCCACACAGTCTCTTCCATACAAAAATTTTTTTTTCGAAAATGCTTGATATGGAAAAAATGCAAAACACCTTCAACAAAAACAATTCTCAAAAATCAATGCGATTTTTGACTAACTCCGAAAAATGTAAATTTTTTTTTACTAGAATTTAATGGGCTGCAAAACTGCATACTCAAATCTGATTAAAAAAAATGAAAACTTGGATGAAAATTTGCTGAATTTTCGCGAGTTTTGCACAAAGTTTAGGAATCATATTTTTATGTTTTCTGTTGTAGAATGAATCGTATTTTTATACAAAATTGGCGGGAAAATGTTAGCATAAACATTTTTGCATATATTGTGAAAAATTTGCTGTGCCAATACTTTGTTCCGGCAGTGTATATGTATGTATGTATGTATTAATGTATATTTGTTTGTATTAAAAAAAAAAAAAAAAATTATCCAACTGTTGTTATGCTTTCGTATAATTGCACCGCCACGGGCTCATTTACAAAGCTTAGTGCGCGAAGCATTGCCATTAACATTGCAGTCGACCCATAAATCCGGCTCAGCGCGGACAAATGACAGAAAGGAAGCAAATAACAGATGAGAAAAAAAGCCAGCGAAACACAAAATAAGCAGCAAATAGTAAAAAATTTAAATTAAATAGAAATGCATACCAAGCGCCGTGCGGGCGAACGCAGGAGCGCGGAAAGCACGGCAGCGAAATTTTACTACTCTGCTTTAGTTATGTACGAGTATGTATGTACCTACCAACAAACATAGCGAAAACTATTTAAGATTGCTGTTGCCAATGTTGTTGGCTATTTGGCTTACCTTGAGAAAAAACAAACCACCTGCCGGCAGTGTAATCCTGTGGGAGCCTGGCAGTATTTTCAGTGGCACACCATCCTTAAACCATTGGATTGTGGGCGTTGGTGAGCCCTCCGCTTTGCAATTAAGTGTCGCCGGTTCATGCCGCGGCACCGTCGTATCTATCGGATGCTCAACTATCCGTGGCGGATGTGAGCCTGCAATGAGGTAGGAAAAAAAGAAATTTAAAGGAAAAAAAATTAGTACGAGTATATACATACATACATATAAAAAAAATGTTAATGTGCTAGAGGAAAATAAATGCTTGTAGTTAAAGCAGAATGTAAAGAGGTAATATATGTACTCGCAAGCAGGTGAAGGATGCCGGTGAATATAAAATAGCGATGCTGTGAAAGAAAGCTTGCATACGCACTCGCAACTTAAAGCGCGACTGCGTAGCTACTTCATCGTCTCGCAGTGGATTCTTATTTTCGTTTTTTTTTGTTGTTGGCTTCTTTCTTGTTACCTTTACCTTTGCATAGCTTTATAGGAATTATAAACTTAATGCGAATTGCAAATGATTGCAATGCAAATTTCCAACTGCAGTTCTTTTGCCGTACTAAGCTACCACTGCAATTGCAATTGCATCCAACGTACGGCGGTGTGTACCACTCTCCGCTGCAGCGCAGGCCACTTTACTTTCCACTTGCATTACTGCAAGCCGTGCAGCCAAGCAATGGTGTCCTCGTATGTGTCAGTTTATTTATTCTGCATTCTTTCACTCTTCATTCTACCATTTCCTTCCTTCACTCATTGTTTTTTTCCACATTTTATTTTCGTTTTCTTTTTATTTTTCATTTCATTCCGCTTTCATTTATTTTCAGCATTTAAATTCACTCAAGAGCAAATTCCTTTGCAAGCAACATTCAGCGCCTTACGCGTTGCACATTCGAGTGTCGCAGTGCTTTAAATGCTATGCAACTTGCCACATACCTACATACATGAATATGACTCGTTGCTTGCATTTTCAAGGTGTATTTTCAGTACTTCCGGTTGAGTTTATTTTTTGAAATGGAAAAATTTTCACGCATATGGTTTTTCAATTAATCCCAGCAAGTGCTCACACAGATACTTATTCACATGCATACTCGTCATGCAACACTTGCACTTGTAAGGAATTTGCAATGCTGAAGTGTGCTTGAAGTAGTCTATGTGCAAGTATGCGCATATGTCATCAAATTAATTTGTATCAACACTTGGATTGGATTGTAATGAAAGAAAAATATATAAAATACCTTTTCGATGTACGGAGTAAGGTACAAGGAAATTCAAGCGCGTCTTAACATTATTTAACTCACCAACAGACATAAACATTCGAGCGAAAATTCACTAACCAAAGCCTTAAGAAGTGAGTTTAGTCGAAAGCTCGCGTAATACTTATTCAAGTCAGAGTTCTATAGAGGTGCCGCTTCCTCCGACTAAATAAATCACTGAACTTCAATATCCCATAAGAAAATATATTAATCTTGGCTAGCTCCTCTGAGGGAAATGGATTACTTCCTTCATACTATTTTTTAACAGCGCAAGACCTTGCGGGCGACATTGTTTTAGAGATCTCAATGGAGGACAAAGCGATTTTTCCTTTGAGCTTCTTTGGACCTCTGAAAAGATTATCAATCGAGCAATGAAAGTATGCGATGTATTTATGGCAGTCTTATGAAATATTTATTACCCCAAAACCTATCAATAAGCGAGGAATTAAAACAGTTGTTGGAAAAACTAAAAAAAAAAATGTCTTGTTCAAATGATTGCACAAGTCATTACTTTTTATTGCGCAATTTTGGTATTAAAAAACACACTTTTTACTGGGGTACACTTCCCAACGGCTCGTCCCCGATATTCTCGCTTGCAAAAAAGTAAGTGCGCCTACTGTAGAAGTGAAACTTACTATATGTATTTAAATGTTTTGAAATTGTGAAAAAACACTGTTGTAGTTAATGTAATCTTATAAGGTTATATTTTTTTATACCCGAGCGCACTTGTGCACAAGGGTATTATAACTTTGTTCACATAACGGTTGTTTGTAACAGGCAAAACGAATCGAGATAGATATAGACAAATGTATACATAAATGATCAGAATGAAAAGAGAAATCGATTAAGCGGTGACTGTCTGTCCGTCCGTCCGTCCGTCCGTCCGTCCGTCCGTGCACACGATAACTCGAGTAAAAATTGAGATATCTTAACGAAACTTGGTACGTGGACTTCTTTTGGGCATAGGACGGATGGTATTGAAAATGGGCGAAATCGGACAATAACCACGCCTACCTCCCATATAACGGTAATTTTCAGAAATACGAAAACTGCGATATTTTAGTAACTACTGAAGATTATTCACTCAAAATTTATATTTACAATAAGTTTTAGACGAAAAATAAGAATATTATACATTTTTGGAAAATGGGCGTAGCCACGCCCACTAATGGTTACATGTGTGTGTCTTGGTAACCGCTGCACCAATTTCTTCCAACCTTGGCACAGTTGTTAACCTTGGTATAACATACGAAATGGCTGAAAATTTTTAAAATCCGACAATAACCACGCCCACATCCCATATAACGGTAATTTTGAGAAATACGAAATCTTCGATAAATCAGTACTTATTGAAGCTAATTTATTCAAAATTGATGCTCGCAACAATTCTTTACCAAGAAATACGTTTATGATAAAATTTTGAAAAACGGGCGTGGCACCGCCTACTTATGATCACATATATGTATCTCGGTAACCGTTCAACCAATTTGTACCAAACTCGGTGTGGTTATTGTGCTTGCCACATAGAAGCAAAACGTTGAAAATTATTGAAATCGAACTAAAATTACGGCCGCTTTTCATATAACAGTAAATTTCAGAAATGCTTGAAACTTCAATATTTCGAAATTTAAGGACGCTAATTTACTTAAAATTTATACACCCCGGCTTATCGTGTAGCGGTAGCTTTCGGAAAGGTAGAAAACATATATTTAATAATTGCGCCGGGTATTTAATGTTCGGCTCCGCCCGAACTTAGACTTTCTTACTTGTTCTATCTTAACCTATTTCTACCGTTTTTGTTGTTATTACATTTTACTTAATCTGTTTTCCTTTATCCCTTATCCTGATCTTCATCTTTTGTATCTTTTCAATTTATTTATTTTTTTATGTTTGTGTATTTATATGTTTGCTTTTATCCTTTTCTTCATCTACATATTCACCTCGATGATGATAGGTGCGATGACGTGATAAGATGTTATGTGATGTGATGTCAGGTAATGCGATGCGATGCGATGTGATTTTATGTGGTGTTATCTAAAGTAATTTCATGTGATGTGATGTGATGTCATATCATGTGATGTCGGGTCATGTCATGCCATCTGATGTCATATAATGTTATGTCATATAAAGGGATGTCATTTCATGTTGTCAAGTCATGTGAAATCATGCTTGTCATGCTATATAGTGAAATTGGTAATGGTGAGTTCAGGTGAGGTGAGTTAAGAAAATTTGTAGTGAGTTTGCGCGTGGTGAGTTCAGGTGTGGTGAATTAAGGTCTAAAATTTAAGGTGTGGTGAGCATATTAGGGTTGAGTTCTCTCTATATCTGTGTTTTGTCATACAAAAAAAAATCGGATAAAGCTTTGTATGGAGGAAATGCGTTAAAAAAAAATTGCCAATACTAGACCAGATATTTATTAAATATGTAAATCTATCGGTCATAATTCAAAACGCGGCTAGCCTGTCGTCAGTGAAGTACTGCCGATCTATCGGAAGCCTAGAAAATCACTAACGCCTATTTAGATTTATATCAAGATTTTTCCACACTTCATCGCTTATTTCCAACATATGGAGAACCTATAGAAGTGAGAAGTAAGAAGCTGACAGCATGTTGTACTCGACCCTGAATACAATCACACTAAGTTTTGTTTCGGATGTGTTTCATGATTTTTTTTTTGTAGCACCGTGAAATAGTCATTCGTCCTTACCCATTAGTCAATAGACATAAGGCCTTAGTTATTAGTCACTAATCATTGTTCCTTACTAATAAAAAAATTAAATAAGTCACTAGCCATTATCTAGTCATTAGAAATTAAGTATTACTCATAAACCATAAGACACAAGTTGTTAGTCATTATTTATTAGTCATTGGTCAAAAGCCACTAGTCATTGACAATTAGTCGTTGGAAGTTAGTTATTAGTCGCAAGTGATTAGTCAACAGTCATAAGTCAAAAGTCAATAGTTATTGCTCATTAGTTGTTAGACATTAGTCATTAGTCACCACTCATTGCTCATTTGCATTCGTCATATGTCACTCGTCTTTGGTTACTTTTTCATTGTTGATTTTGCACCAAGAGTTTACTTCAACATAGATTTTCAAGTTTTAAAAAAGTCTCCATAAAATTTCGCTACGGTTCCACCTCCTGTGACTTTTGTTCGTTTGCATACGACTTTTTGTAGTTATATATTTACATACATACATATATTTACACAAAGGCATTCACTCTCAAGAATTTCCAAGTCATGCTGCCTAAGGCCACTTTTAAAAAATCTGTGCGCATATGTTGCCAGCTGCTTTGGCGCGCGTTGCATGCCACATAGGCATACAACAATTTAAAAGGCATTTTCTTGCTGCAGCGCACTTTTGTCAACTGTTCCACTTCTTAACAATTTCCATTTAAAATTTTCATTCACATAGTTGCAGCAGTACATAGGTACTTATTTTATGTAGGCACAGGCATAGTACTATATTCTCATTCATTGTTTACATTGCAGTTTATTTTCTTAGAAACTTTAGTGTGGCACGCGCGCACGCTGCAAACACCTGAGAAACAATTTGCAACAAAGCAGCTTATATTGCTTGGCTTGGTTAACTGGCTGGCTTGCTGGCGGGCGGGTGACTGGGTGGCGGCTGCAACAAGCAAGCGGCTTGCAAATAGCTAAACTTTAATCGTTAATGGGCTGGGCCGTCTGTCCGTTCGTGTATTATAAACAAAGTCGCACAAAGTTGCTGCCGCTAAATTGTGAAAAATGTAAGCGTGCAAGCGTGCGGCGCGCACGAGCGCATGAATTTAACACAAATTTATATGTTGCATGCAAACGGCTGCTGGTGGTGCAACAAGGCAAGGAGGAGCTGAGCGGCGAGGCGAGGCGCGACACACGGCGCAAGCAGCGAAATAATTGTC